TTCTTGGGCAGCCCCGTGTCGCAACCATGTACCCCTCGAGTTTTCGATTCCATATCCGTGGCGGCCGACACACCTGGAAGTGATGAGGTCGTCGTCGTCGCCATCTACTGATATACGGGATTCCCCAACCTGCGCGTTGAAGTCGCCAGCGAGTATAATATGACGTCGTGCTTTGGTGTTTTCTCTGTGAATCTCGTGGATCGCGTCGTACATGCGCTGAATGTGCGGGTCGCTGTACCCAGAGTGTGGAAAATATGCGGCCACCAATTGTAATTTCAACCGCCCGCTTTTCAACAGCATCGTGGCGAGTCTTGGCGAGTGGGCTTCAAATCTCTGTATGCTCTTTCCCCAACGCTTGTGTATAAGAATAGCAACTCCGTGGCACGCCTGGTCATTGCCAGATCCAGCAAACGTATGCCCTTCCACGGTTGTCCATAGTTCCGTCGTAGTCGTCCTCTGTCTCGTTGATGAGCACAAAATCCCAATGGCAGTTGTCGAGCTCTGCGATGAGTTCGCTGACCCGGTCGTCTGTCGTAAGTGCCCGGGCATTTTTGTGAATAATCGTTATGAATATGTGCTGTTGGTGCTCGTCAGTGGTCGGTGTCATTTTCGTTGGTGCTGCTGGTTGGTCGTGGTCGGCGCTGGTCTGGATTGTTTGGTGTTGGTTTGTCGCTGCTAGTCGGCTGTCTTGTTGTTGGGTGAGTGTGGTCTGCGGTTGATTGGGTGTGTGTTGCTGGTGGTGCTGGTCTGGAGTCGGTTGCGCTGTTGTTTGCTCGTCGTTGTTGGTCAGAGCTGGATGGTGTGAACTTGCTGGTGTTAGTCGGTGTCACTGCTGGCGCTGGTGGTCGGTGCTGGTCGGTGGTGGTGGTTTGGTCAAGTGTTGCTGGTATTGTTGGTCGGTGGTCAGTGTTGTTGGTTGTGCTGGCTGGCTGAGGTCGAAGTTTGCTGCGTGTGGTTGCTCGTGGTAGTCGGTCGCTGCTGGTCGATGGTGCTGCTGCCGGTTGTGGGGGTCAGTGCTATTCGGCAGTGGATGGCGCTGGTGGTCGGTGCTGGTCGGTGGTGGTGGTTTGGTTAAGTGTTGCTGGTATTGTTGGTCGGTGGTCAGTGTTGTTGGTTGTGCTGGTTGGTTGCGGTCGAGGTTTGCTGTGTGTGGTTGCTCGTGGTAGTCGGTCGCTGCTGGTCGACGGTGCTGCTGCTGGTTGTGGCGGTCAGTGCTATTCGGCAGTGGAGTGTGCTGTGTTGTGAAAATGCTCAAAGGCACGTCGCCGTCTGCATGTGCAAAGCCCTTTCTGCCACCGCCTGTGCTGCGCGCCGGCATTGTCGTCGAAGGTGGTCGCGATGCTGGCCTTGACGATGTAGGTCCTGAGAGCTGACTTCCTTGAGAGGGGGGATTAAAAAGTAAATTATCGGATTCGTCCTGCAGGGCACACTCAAAAGTCTCAGTGTTCCTGGGAAGATTCGTCTGAACTCCATTTGGAGAGAGGGGGACAGGGAATGGACAAATCGAATGCCTATGTAAATGAATTCTGGATGGCGGGTGAAACTCAAAATTGTGGGTCGTATTAGCCCCATGTTCCCGGGAGGGAGGGGCATCCCTTCACTCAGACTCGGTCGCCGGGTCGGGGTCCACCTTTTTCCTCCATGTGTCCATGGACGCCTTCACGTCCTGCTCAACCTTCTTGGCTGTTCCCGTAGTGCGCCAGACCCCGAACTCATCGATCCAGGCCACCTTCCGGCCGTGAACCTCCACCAGGCTCTTCCGCCAGACGATCTTGATGTCCTCATCCTTGACGTGGCCCTTGCGGGTGAGGTGGAACTTGGTGTAGCCAAGTAGCTTGTCATTAGTCCTTTCTTCCGTTGTGGAGTTGTTCCGAAAGAAAATGGGCTTCACGTGTTCTTTATCTTTGATCGGTTCCATTTTCTTGTAAAAGTCGATTTTGTGAGATGCGTCCTCGAATGTGATGATCCCCATCTTCGCACGATTTCCGCCGGCTTCCACCTTGGCGGTGTGGCTGTCGCCCAACACTTCGGTGAGTATCGCCTCGATCTTGGCGATGATAATGTCCGGTTCCATACGCTCCTTGAAACCTAACGCGAGCACCTGCTTGTCCCTGATGTCGGAGTCCGGCTCCTTGTGGTTCCTGCGGATGGTGGTTTTTGCACGCTGTATGTCCTCGACCTCCTTCTGCACTGTGGCCACAGTCTCGTTGGTCTTGTTGATCTTGTCCTCTAGGCTGGCTATGGTCAGCGTCGTCTCGAGGGCAGCCTGCTTCGCGGATACCGCTTCGGTCTTCGCTTCCTGGGCGATGGCAAGGCTTGCATCAACCTTCGTGCTGAGGCCTCCCATCAGGCTCTTGAGCTCCGCAAACATTTCCTCAACTCTGTCCGGTTTGGGCTCGACTTTTGCCTTCTTGTGATCTTCGGGAGAGTTGCTCGATTGAGCGCCCTTTTTCATGATGCTTGGCACAAGATGTGTAGAGAGATGTAAAAGGAAATCGGGGTTAAAACTGAGGGCGGAAATTCGGGCAGTTACTCTTGAGAATCCTG